GTTTTCACTACTGCGTGCTACTGCGTTTCAAATTCTAGATGTTTCACTTCTCCTCTGAAACTGACAAATGCACCTTTTAAATTGATCCAGAATAATTCTGGACTAACTCATCAATTAACACCCATTTCGTGGCGCCAAAGGTTTATAATTGGTAGCTTAAATCTGCGTGACGCAAAATTAGATAGCCATAAATACAAAATACTTTCCAGAGCGACTTGCCAGAAATGCGCCGCACAAACACACTTAAATTTATTTAATTTAATCGATGACAACCGCAAATTTCTTTAGTTTTCATTTCTTCGTTGCGTCAGATGACTTTCGAGAATATATTTCGCGGCGAAATGAAAGCGCGTGTCGGCGAAGGAACACATTGTGCCGGGCTAAAACACCTGCAGCACCTCGCACGTTCTGCAAACTTTGAATGGATATACTGCTGCCTTTTTGCATTATATACGTTCGTAGGGGAGGCAAACATCTGCGAAACGTTGCAAATTTTATCAGTCGCTCCGTCGTTGTTGACGCCCTCTGAGGTCATCGCCGGTCAACTGGAGCAGTCACTTTTTGCTATAACGCGCATGGGTCGGACTAATTATGAACTTGGTGATAACGTTTTTAGCAAAAAATGCTCATCAGCTGTTTTTATGTAACAGTAACTATTGCTCGAGGGTGATGGCCAAAGTTAATTAGCACCGCAGCCAGCTTTATGAATTTGTAAAGAGAGCTCAATTTAATTGGTTTTGTTTTAAATATGTACATCAAAAATAACTTGCAGTAAAGCCATATTACATGTAAAATAAAAATTTTATTAAAAAATATTATTTTTTGCTAAAATATTTTTTATTTTTGCAAATAGTTTTTATTTTATTTATTTACTCTCTCAATATCTATTCCTGAAAAAAATACAGCTTATTATTTTTCTTAGGCGATTTAACCTTTATTTACGAAAAAATTAAAAATAAAATTTGTATTAAAGCACAGCTAAAAATTTGGTTTCTGTGCAATTTTTAGTTAAAACGGACTTTGACTGTTTCTCTAATTAACATTAATTTAAGCTTTTGAATATTTAAATCCTCACTCGTATGAATGAAAATTATTAAGTTGATTCTCCATCGCAGAGCTAATTTTTCCTCTTAAATATTTTCGTATGTTAAAAGATGCATCGTCTGATTAAAAATGTCAAGTGTCACTTTAAAACGCACTTAATTATTTGGGTCGCTCAAAAATCTGTTTGTCAGTTAACATTAAGAAGATAATTATTTTAAAGAGGTTGTCGTTAAAACGTTGATAATGAGTCGTACTTTAAGCAAAGCAGCTCAAGTTTAATTTCAATGATAATAAAATAATTTTATTTCTTTGAATTGCAATATACAAAAAACTTATCATGATAAGCCGATTCTGAAGTTTCTAAATATTACTTAATTTTTTCTGAGGCTTTAAATTAGCGTTGAGACCTTTTTCCCTTAAAAATTTAATGCCTATTTTAATGTTAATCAAACGAGAAACGGGTTCTTCTCTGCCAAAAATTCTTAATGTGCCAGCTGTTTTTCCCATAGAGCCGCTCTATTATTCACAGGATTAAGTTCTTGTGGTCGGTCGGCGCAAGAAAAACGTGCCGGATTGCAGCGTTTGCGGCGAGCGAGAGAGGGTCTTTCTTTCCCTTCACTTCTGCGGCTCCTGCAGTTTCGGCTCCATTAGCGCCTCCAGCAGCTTCGCCACTGCATTTTTCTTTGCACCCTATCGCATAAAATGCACCCTCGTCATCGATTCTTTCACCCTCGCCCGTCATCTCACATATCATAATTCCCAATATGTTCTCTGACGGGCCGTTGGCAAATACCATTCACCTGATGGATGCTTTGGCCAGTTTGGCCTTTCTAAAAAATCTAGAATGTTATGCAATTATAACTAAAAATAGTATTTATTTGTAGAAAAAATTGTTTTTGATAACATAATTTTTCCAATATGTCAGTTACTTAATAAATTTTTAATTAAATCATTATTACGTATTTTTTAATATTATGCTTTGGGCAAAAGTTAAATTTAATATTTATGTTCTTTTTAGATATTTATTGACACTGCGAGAAAATTGAAATAATATGTACTAGAACTTCTGCGAAATTTAAAATACAAGTTAAATCTGCCTGCAGTGAATCTTGAGTCCTGAAAAAATAATATGCATTACACTTATCCATTGAATTAATTAAATTAGAAAAGTTATGAAAACAAGCTTGCTGTTGTTTGCAAAACATTGCGGCGCATAAATTGATACGACGCATTTATGTAATGTGTGATGTTAAGAGGTGCGAGATTACAAGAGTGAAAGCACATTCATCACGCATGAAAAAGCAATAGAGACAGATCAAGAGAGTCACCAACTAGATGAGAGAATTAGCAAACTTTGCTAATTAATAAACTATCGACCTCGGGCTTCCTAATTAGCAGCGTGTTTGCATTCCACTTGTTTATTTGAGCCGTGATAATGGCCTAGTTCGATCTTAATTAGCATCATCACCTGATGCGTCCAACGCGCGATTTGCAGCCATCGTATTTGCACAGCTGATTAGCGTCCTTCGTTTGCCGTGTGGGTTCGTTTACCCTATCTATAGGAACGTGTTGTTGTCGTTATTTGCAAACGCCGTTTTGCAGCGTGAAAGTGATCATCCCTAATTTGCATGTCACTGCTGCACTTCCTGCCGCGTTAATTTACTGAGTGCAGCTTGTGGACTGTTTATTTCTGGGCTTACTCTTGGCACTTTACCTCCTGATAATTACGTGAAATAATTAATCATATAATTTGCTTGAAAGCTCTCATGTCTCACATCAATTTTATAGGAATGACATTCATGGGATTTAGAAGTTGTATTTTATGGATGTCGCTAACCCAAGGAAAATATAGCGGTTATTTTTTCTTATTATGAATCATGCAAAAAATGTGAGGTGAAAATAAAATTAATATTTTACTGGTTTTGACAGCGATTTAAAAAGTGATTTAAAAAATTTGTTTTATTGAAACTAGGCGAACTTATTTGGGATTTTCCTTCGAAATATATTAATGTGGGTAAAAACAATTGTTATGATTTGACAAAAAACAGATGCCAAATCGTTTAAATCTGACTGACCACGTCAAATGCAGGTCAATTAAAAAAGTAAATTTTTCAGTTTTTTCCTTTGCTAAATCTGGTTTTTCTAATTTATTTAGTTTCAAACTTCGTGTTGGGCATTATTTAATTTATTCCTACCAAGTATAAGGCAAAAAATATTTTTAGCTTAATGTCACGTACGTTGTCAGTAATGTGAACCTGGCACTCACAATGAAACTATTCATCATCAATATCTGACTATTAAAATCTAAAAAATATATTAATTAGTTTCGAAATTAGTTCAAGTTTGCACATTAATAAAATTTGATTGATGATGTGCATCGCAGACGTTTGTTATTGCACTGTGACTTCTCAGTTTAACGCCACAATCCGCCCCTGCCTGCGTGCATTAGTCGCAACATACGGTGTATGTTCAAGTGCACTGAAAGCGAGAGCTAATGAGTATGTCATCAGGCGAGAGTCGTTTTGCTCGAGTAAAGTCTTGGTCCAGAGAGCTTTGGCTCCGATTCAGTCAGCTGATGGTTTCATGCGACTCCCACGTTGACGCCGCTCGATTTACGTTAAAATAAGAGACTCGCTTTTGCGCCTAACCTTGCGCTTAACGATCTCAAGATGAGACGCCGATTATTTTCGTGCGACCGAGACTTTGTTGTTATTGCGAATGTGGTTCCGGCGCGCGGCCACTTTTCGCAACACCTGGGTCAACAAACTGAGTAACAAAAGTGAATGTCGAACAAATTTTTTTAGTAATAATTGTTATTAATTTCTCACCATTGGAGAGACAAGAAATGTTGGTAATTTTTCAATAACCTTCTAGTTCAACGGAGAAATTACTTTTTATCCTTGTTGCTGCAAATCTCAATCAAATTGCAATTTCCCCTCTTGTGTGGGAAAGTGATAATAAATATGTTTCTAAAGAGAGCGCGATGAAAAGTGAGCTGCCGAGCGGGTCGAGATGCAATTCACACCCAAGCCGCTCTAACCTTGAGCCAACACATTAACAGCAGCAAAAGTGACATGAAATCCAATTACACGGCCGAGCATTGAGGTTTATTAATTCGCCGCGAGTCATAAATCACTCGTGACAAGACGTCAATTTGATGAGCAGCAAATTGATCAACCGTGCACAAGCGTATCGGGTCCGCATCTCCATTCACAAACTTGCACTACGTAATACATGTTTGATATTCATCATGCACCGTTTCACATGTCTAGTGTGAAGCGCCACCACATACTCCATCAAAACGAAAGTACCGCACGTACCGCACGCGTCGTGCGATGCAATTTCCAATTTATCACATTTCTGTTTCTCTGCAGAAGCGACCAGAAGGAAAATTCAATTCACTCGACCTCTGATAAAACCTCTAAATTAATTTTTCATATCTGATTGAAAGCGTTGAAAGGAGGGTAAAAAAATGACTTTATCGACGACCTGTTCAATGTTCAAAGTTGCATCCACAACATTTCAATCATCGCAATATATGAAGAATTTATTTTGAAAAGTAGCTCTTGCATGGTGGTTTTTTTTATGTGTTATTATGTTCCTCTTTTATTTGTTTTATACCCTCTGCAGGAGTCTGTGAAATATGTTTACGAAAAAAAATTTGATCAAAGAAAAAAATCGTAAATATTCCATTTTTTAGATTGACTTCGACCGAAGGTGTAACAAATAATATTAAAAATTTTAAATAGTTAAATCAGATTTTTCTTTAAAATATTTTGCATTTCAAGAAGCGATTCTGTAGTTTGGGGTCATGAAATTTCTTCCTTTTAAAAATATAGACAAAAAACCATCACAAAGAAAAAAATTTCTTTTCCAATAAATTAGCCGTTGGTTGTAATTTTTCAACAATGTTTTCAAGTGAGCAATTATATAATGAAAATATTCTTTCTGTGCAGCTATGGTGAGTGCAGTACACGTGATGCAAGGAGCAGATGCCGGCCATGGAAAGGACAAGCAGATTTTCACCTTGGGTTACATCACCGGTTCTCGCAGACGTCCCTGGGACAAGGAGTATCCCCGCCCGGGGCTCCAGATTTCAGGCGCCATCAGCCTCGCTTTGGCAGAACTCAACGCTTCTCCTACACAAGGTAGATGCAGAAATGTTAGAAATTAGATAATTATTTCATTCAGTATTATTGAAAATGGATATTAAAAATGAATACTGAATGGCGAAAAAATACTGATTTTTTTGTTTCCCTTTGTTGCAATTGATAATAAAATATAAATTTTAATAAATTAATGCACATTGCTCAAATCTGTGAAATACGGGCTTCAAAATTTAATTGCAAATGATTTATTATCTTCTGTTGATCTGATTTTTTTTTAAATATCAGCACTTATTTATCTAATAATCACCTTTATTAGATTGAGATTCCTAAAATAATTTTATTTACATTATTGAAAAGTAAATTTTAATTTATATCTGATTGATTTAACAAAAGTAAAATGTCTTGCTAAATGAAACTAGCTGTATTTTCCTTTGCTGGATTAATTCTGCAAAGTGTCAAAGAACCCGGTACAAATAAAATCAACTGCCTTCAAGATTTCCAAACAAATAAGTTCACACATAATATCGACATCCAAACCGTCTATGTTGTAGTTCAGTAGTTGGATTTAGTTTATTTGTCTTGTCAGTTCACAGTTCATTTTCAAGAGCATTAAAATCCGCCAACGATAAACATGCGCGAAGCAAACATTTCTAGAACAATAAAACGTCTATCCGCTTGCAAATTCACAATGTTTTACGGCCCAAGAGAGGCATTGGCCCCGCACTGTAAAAAAGTAAAATAGCTATAAAGAAGAGCATTGTGTGAATGACGGCGAAACAATCAGTTCGCTGCGTAGAATTCCGACCCTTTCCTCAGTGACACTTCTTATATTTTCCTCCGTCAGAAAAAAAAGAGCAGAAACTCTCAGACGATGACTGCCTCGCGCGCGTCCATCAACGCGAGATCCGACAAATTTCGCAACACTGCTGAAAGTAATTGCATCCCGCCGGATCAAACAATTCCCTTTTTTGCCCCTTTTGTTCGCAGACAGTTGATAAAATTGGTCCCGACGAGTGAGGAAGTGAACTGCACTTGACGCTGAAAAGTTTCCTTGCTGAAAAGTGCAACTACGTCTACTTCCCAATAGACAAGATGTGTAGTTGCGCAACTTCCGATTCTAAACCTGCCTTATCTGTAATTTGAAGTGCACTCTCCTCGCGCTCTTAATATTAAATCCGAGCGCAGCTTTATTGCGAAACTCTTTTAATTCTGCGCGCCGCGCGAACGGGTGGCCTTTCCTGTTAGAGGTTATGCAACTCGCTGCACCAGATGTTTTGAATTTATGGCTCGTGATGCATTAAGCGGGTAGTGCGTTCAACCACCTCCGCACATAAATCTTCTATTACATGCGTTTAGAGCAACTTACTTAGAATTAATATTCTAAAGCACTTTGTTAACAAAAATTGGAATGCAGTGATTGTAAAAATTTCCAAATAACTGCAGAGAAAAAAAATTTGCAATAATTTAAAAATTTTGATTTATGAATTCTGCAATATGCAACAGATACATATGTATAATGTTATCTATTAGATTATAGAATATTTAACTTTAAATAAATTAATTGGGTATAAATAATTCATGAAGTAAAATAAAATACTTGATAATTAATTGGCATTTGTTAATATTTTATTAATTAAAGTAATTTGTTTGTAGATATATATTTATACCTAAATCATAGCTTTCAAAAACTGTTTCATAATTTCCTATTGCATTTAAGAAATAATTATAATATGAGCCTGCACATTGCCACAACATTCCGTTTATATAAATTATAATTGAGAGCTGAGAGATAACTTTGCATTACCTATGCAAACTTAAATTGGAAGAAATAAAATATTTAGAGTGATTTAAAACTCAAAATTATATTCTTCTCTCCTAAACATAATTTGAATTTCTTACATTTGCCTAAAATATTATAAACTATATTATGTTCTTCAATTTAATTTTTACTAAACAGGACTGTGTTCTAACTTTCCAGGTGTGGATCAGGGCGGTTTGTTGGCCAGACGGGGTATCCATCTGCAGCTTAGAGTGGCCGAGACGTACGGCGAGGAGCAGACAAGCATCCTGCGGACAGCAGCCCTCTGGTCGCAGAACGTGACCGCCTTCATCGGCCCCCAGGAAAGCTGCTTGCACGAGGCCAGGATGGCGGCCGCTTTCAACCTGCCCATGATTTCTTACGTGAGTTTTGTTTTCCAAGTCTCTTGAATGCGGTGCGACGCATACTTTCTTCCTTCTTTTGACGCCGCGCTGCTTTACGAGGTCGCTTAGCAAAACTTAGAAAACTTTTTTCCTCGCGTTTTTTATTGACATGTGGTGTTTTATTTCTTTCCAACCAAACTTTTGAAGGAGATATTGTGTGCTGCGAAAATGTTAAAGAAGTAAAACAGATAACTCAGAACTTTTGAAATTTTAGATTACTTTGATATCCACACTATTTTTATTTCATACAAAAAAAATTTGTATCAAGTTGACAAAAATTAAGATATATTTTAACATATATTTATAAAAATAGATTTTTTTAATTAAATTGTAAAATTATTATATTATTCACCTTTTTCTCCGGGGGATAAACCATAAACAACTTTTCAGACATATTATGAAGTTTTTGAACAGTAAGCCAAAATCTACAATAACAGACCTCCTATACACTTTTGGCAAAAGGCCACTGAACAGAGGGAAGGAAAGTGTTTGCATGAGAGCATAGTCAAAATGGAAAAGATAAGATTTAAATTACACTTCAGTGGAAATGGTAAAACACTAGTTTTTTTGCTGGAATTTGCTCCCGTCTTAATACACCCCCGATAGCTTGGCCTGCTCTACTTTTGCTCTCTTTATTCCTCCCAGCAAAGAGACCGTTTTAAAGAGCGGGTTAAAAATAGTAATGGTCACTTTTGTTTATCAGTACTGTACGGACCATCAGACGTCGGATAAGCGGCTGTTCGCCACTTTCGCGCGCACCCGGCCGCCCGACACCCACATCTCCAAGTCGGTAGTCGCCGTGCTGAAGGCCTTCAATTGGACCACGGTGAGTTATTTGTTGCACTCAATCTATCTATTGGACGAAAGCACGCGCGGTTCAATTACTATCGCCGCTGACTAATCAAGATATTTCGCTTGGTCTCAGAGAATGACGCGTGATTTTTTTTCGGAGGTGGCGAAATTGCTTTGCTTTAAACAGACATCGTCTGCGTTATGTGCTGCGTTTACTTTATAAAAATAGTCGCTGTAGCGTTTTTAATGAAAACTTAGCTATGCATGAAAAAAATTAAATTTACGTGAGCATGAATTAAATTTTTATTATTGAATTATAAGTAAAAAATTTTAAAATAATATTATATACGGTTTAATTATAATTGTTTTTAAAATATTTATCATTGAAGTAAAGTTTTTTAATTGAATTTTTAAAACAATAAAATTTATTTTTAAATATTGACAAAACGATGATTCTTATTATTTTCAAGGAAAATTTTCACGATGGTTAGGCTTGTGGCTTGTTATAGAAGGTAATTTTTAGAATATTATTCTAAAAATATTTAGAGTTATAAACTTATTTTGATTATCATGTTTATTTATTTATTTATTTTTTATTTTGAAAATTTAAAAGCAGAAGCTGAGGGAACCTTTCGGTCAGACTGTGACTCGCAGTTATCGATTTTTTTTATATGGGAAAGTAGGGTTTGGGTTGAGGCAGGGTTAATCAAGGGCGGAGTTGCTTTCTGCCTTGATGATGGTCCATTCATTCAAAAGATAACGCAATTTGGAATCTTTCCTTGGCTTCTCACTTAAAATCAGATTTCCTCTCAAGGCGAAAATGGACCCACCTCCAACAACACCGGGATTTAGTATTTTTTTTTCTCCATGAGCTGCTATGTTTACATGAAATTGAATTTTTATAGGAACATTGAGTAATTTTCTCTGATAAATTCAAACGAGTTCTCTGCATAAATACAACATAAAAAGTAAAGTGGAGAGCGAGTTTTTTTGCTCAGCTGTCGGCACCACCAAAGATGCAAAGGCGAAAATTGATTGAAAAACTTTGCTCGGCCACCCACAGATCAAAACCAGTTGTTCTCCAAAAAGCAAAACGCAATTGGCCGCCACGCGATTCATCATCAAACTCGCCCCACCAACGTCATTGTGAATTATATTTCGCATCTCATTCACCGTGACGCGCGCTCATTAATTAATCCGGTTGAGATGGGCGGCGAAGATTAAAGGGATTTATCCAGCGTATATTATTGAAGAGCGCGGTTGGTTTAACGTGATCGAGAGATGAATGAGGCGCTTAAATTCGCTGCGGTTGCGCGTGGGCGGCTTTTGAACTGGCAGATTAGATTAGATTCCACTTTCGCTTAATAAATTGCTTTCCCATTCATAAATTTGATATAGAGAGAAATTTAACCTCCCTGGGAAAGAAATAGAAAATTGGAAAAACATTCATCGGAAAAGAAGATTTAAAGCAAACAATAAGTTTGAAAAATAAAATAAATATAAGTAATGAGGCAATTCTAATTCTTTTTGGTATTAATGGTATTGCCTTAAGAATAACTTTGTCTCTTGTTTAAATGTAGGGTCTTAAATCTTAATTCATTAATTCCATGAAATAACATCTTTTGCTTTTCAAGGTGAGCGTCCTGCATTTAGCGACTGATGACACTCAGTTCAGCAGAATTGCTGACACTTTAGAAGCAGAATTTAGAATGGCGGCCATCAAAGTTTCATCTAGACTGAGCTGGAACACCCCCTACCACCACGGGTACTCCGACAACCCGTTTCATCAGATGGTTTTGGACACGTATAAAGACGCGAGAAGTGAGTATAATTTTTCTTTCTTAAATCGTAAAAATAGCTGAATTAAAATTCCATAAATTTTCACGTGGAAAAGGTAAATGTATTGCGTAGACGATGTGTTTGTGTAAAATAAGAGCCTGCTCAATTAAGCGAGCAGAGACATATCGCGATTTAAGTGAGTAATGTGCAGAAAATGTAGTGGTGCCAAGAAAGTTAAGTACTTGCAGCGACAATCGCAAAAACTCTTTTAATTGGTCCATTTATTAACCCCTTCTCTTGCCCGCCCGGGAGGAGCCGCGCAAACTTGGTCGTTGACCTTTCAGCCAAAATAGAATCAACAAACACCGCTCTTGTTCATTTGGCAGCGCGGACGTGTCAACAAGTTAAAGTTTTTCCACCCGTCGTCTCTCGGGCTAACTCAGTTTCACTTTCAAAAGGGCGATGTTTTGCACCCCGCGCCGATTTGTAATTCGCACTAACGGGTGAAAGTAAGTGTGGCGGCCGCGAAAAGCACCGTCGTCTGCGCAAAACAACGCCGCTGAGAACATTATACAAGGTGGTTTGGGTTATATTTAAAGGCCTGCCGTTCCGTCTTGGCACCCAGGCCATAACTCGCAGCCCTAATGTCTCTGGGAGATGCTCACGGCCTCTCTCTCACGCGCGAAAAATATAATGCAGACACCATAGCGAAACTTCTTCTCGCGCAACTTTTTGCGGTTTGAATTTGAATGGGGAGCTCGTTGGAGCGACTTCCAGCCGTGCGCTTGAAGGATGTGTTTATGCGCTCGGAAGGGTGTTCCGAATTAGCATCGCCAAGTGAAATGCCAAAGTGCCACTCACGAGCTTGGAAATGACATTTTGTAGATCTGAATGGGATGCGACTGTGGCCTCTGATTTATTTCTTTTACGTCCATCACCCACACACTCAAATGCTAAATCCAATCAGCTCATCATTTGTCGCACTTCTTGCCTTAAAAACATGTAATGTACAAAATAGATTTATTTATAACAAAATTCTTAAGATATATTTAAATAAATATATTTTGTGATGGGAATTTAATTTAACTTTATAGTTTTTTTTTTATTATAATTGTATAACAAAAATTTTTATTTTAACAGAATTTTTAAACGACCCCGAAACGAATAGTTCACAAAACATCAAATTGCTACTATGGAATGTAGAAGGGTTTAAAAGTGTTTATAGCAACTTTGGTGAAACTGAATTTAAAAATTATGACATTCTCATATTAACTGAAACTTTTTTACTAGAACCATTTTCGATTCCGGGGTTTTATAGCAAACATATTCTAGCCGAAAAATCTGCGCGTGGCAGACCAAAGGGAGGTCTCGCAATTTACTACAAAGGCAAAGTTGGGGAAATCATAAATTGCAAACTATTAAAAAATTTCATAATTTTGAACTTTGAACATCTCTCCATTGTTGGTTCTTATTTGCATCCAAAGTTAAATTCGGATGATGTTTGGGAGCAACTCTTGAAAACTCTCCCAGAAATTAGAAATATTGAAAAGGTTGTATTCGCTGGAGATTTTAACTGTAGAATTGAAATTTCAACCAACTTAAAAGGCAAGAGCTTTCTAGACTTTGCTGAAATGAATGACCTTACTCTTGCAAACAGCCTCCCTCTTCAGAGAACCTACTTAGCTGGAAAAGGAGGCAGCACTATTGATCTAATTCTTTTGGGCCCAGAAATCAAACTAAACAATTTTAATTTAAACAATGACCCCCATTTAACTAAACATTGCTTGGTCTCCATAAATTTTGAGATGCCTAATTCAAATGCTAATCCATATGAACCAGGGCTAGGTCGCCCCAGGGTAGATGATCTTAAACTTAAGTACTTGATTGAATGTAAATATACTGATATTCTAAGAAATGATATTGAAATGGAAAACATAGAAAATTTCTACAAAAATGTACTTGCACTTGTTGAAGAGTCAAAAATCACTCCTCAAAATTTCCAAAGGAAAAGCGCGCCCTGGTTTGATTACCAATGCTACTGTTTCAAACAAGATCTCAACTTTTTAAGAACCTTTATTAACTCTTTTCCAGCGGTAAAAGGTTTTGAAGACGATAAAAACGAAGTGATGGAAATATACTCAACTGGAAAAAAGGAATATGTAAAACTTTGTAAAATTAAGAAAAGGGAATACGTTGACAAATTAGACAATAAAATATTAGAGGAAGCAGAAAAAAGATGTTACAAACTTCTGCAACTTAACAATAATTCAACCTGGAAAGAAAATAATATACCAATGAAAACATGGGAGCAAACTTTGGATAATCTTCTGAATGAAAGTAAACTTAAGCCTGGCCAATCTTTAGACTTAAAGGCTTTGTTAAACCAATATCCTAAAAATGTAGAGTTAAAAAATATTATGGAAGAAGAAGTAGAATTTGCAGTTAAAAGTTTAAAAACAAAAAAGGCAACAGGTTTTGACATGTTAACAAATGAAAATCTAAAGGCTCTCTTCTCAAGCCTCGCTCCCGAAATGACTTCCTTTTTCAATTTATGTCTTCGCGCCGGAAAATTCCCAGAAGCATGGAAATACTCTAATCTAAAGCTTCTATTCAAAGGAAAAGGTGATACTTCTAATGTAAATTCTTACCGAGGCATTAGTTTAAGCTCCACTTTCTATAATTTGCTAGATCGTATAATTAATAATAGGATTACTTCAAGTCTGATAGACAATATACCACCAAATCAATATGGTTTTGTCAAAGGTAAATCAACTATACAAGCTGTAAACGAGTTGATTAGTGAGATAAATGAATCTGTTTATGAAAAAGGGAAGCCATTGTACTGTGTATTCTTAGATGTGAAAAAAGCCTTTGACACAATTGACCGAAAAGTTGTATTTCAAAAACTAATTTCTACTAAAAAATTAGCTCATGGTGAACTTAATCTTGTGGCGGAAATGCTAGATCTAAACTACCTACAAGTAAATGATGGTGTCACTGTATCGGAAACTATAACACAGTCAAATGGAGTCAGACAAGGTGGTGTCTTTTCTCCTTTTCTATTCATTTTCACAGTCAGTGATTTAAACGAGGCCATAAAAAATTGTAAAAATGTCCGTGCAATACTTTACGCAGATGATATTGTGCTAATAGGCGATAGCCTTGAAGATATTAAAGCAGCACTTTTGGAAATTGAGCAATATCTAGCAACCAAAAACTTAAAATTGAATTATGATAAGTGTAAGATTCTCAAAATTAGAAATAAGGGTAGAGGCCGTCTAAGGAAAGACGACATTTTAAATGTAAATGGACAAAACATTGAATTTGTAACAGAGTTCTGCTATTTAGGTGTAACTTTTCAATCATCGGGAACTTGCTTTTCAAATCATGTAAGCAAAAGGGTGAAAGCGGCACTCTTTGCAATGGCCAAACTAAACGCTTTGCCAAAATCCTCTCTGCAGTCGGCCGCCCGAGGTCGATCGCGGCCGCCCGAGGTCGATCGCGGCCGCCCGAGGTCGATCGCGGCCGCCCGAGGTCGATCGCGGCCGCCCGAGGTCGATCGCGGCCGCCCGAGGTCGATCGCGGCCGCCCGAGGTCGATCGCGGCCGCCCGAGGTCGATCGCGGCCGCCCGAGGTCGATCGCGGCCGCCCGAGGTCGATCGCGGCCGCCCGAGGTCGATCGCGGCCGCCCGAGGTCGATCGCGGCCGCCCGAGGTCGATCGCGGCCGCCCGAGGTCGATCGCGGCCGCCCGAGGTCGATCGCGGCCGCCCGAGGTCGATCGCGGCCGCCCGAGGTCGATCGCGGCCGCCCGAGGTCGATCGCGGCCGCCCGAGGTCGATCGCGGCCGCCCGAGGTCGATCGCGGCCGCCCGAGGTCGATCGCGGCCGCCCGAGGTCGATCGCGGCCGCCCGAGGTCGATCGCGGCCGCCCGAGGTCGATCGCGGCCGCCCGAGGTCGATCGCGGCCGCCCGAGGTCGATCGCGGCCGCCCGAGGTCGATCGCGGCCGCCCGAGGTCGATCGCGGCCGCCCGAGGTCGATCGCGGCCGCCCGAGGTCGATCGCGGCCGCCCGAGGTCGATCGCGACCGCCCGAGGCTATGCCGTGACCATAGCATGGCTATGGCGTGGCCATGGCATGGCTATGGCGAGGCCATGACATGGCTATGGCGTGGCCGAGCATACAAATTTTATTTCAAAGTTTATCAAAATTTATTTTAATTTAATGTCGTTCTGCCTCTAGGCAAACTCAAATCATCAATTGTTTTATTAAATTATGAAGTAACAGACAACACATCACTTGTTAACGTTTTCTTGTTCAAAAAGGTCAAAGATTTTAATCAACGTGCTAAAAATTATAATTGAGCACGAACATACTTCATACTATTTGACTTAGCTATCTCACCGGTTGCAAGTTACGGAATTGAAGCCATTTGGCCGTATTTGAAGCAGAGGGATTTGGAAAAACTAGAAACCATAAAATCAAGATTCCTAAAGAGAGTTTTAAGTCTGTCTAAAAGAATGAAATCACGACTTGTATATGCATTAACGGAAAGTGAAACAATCGTCAGTGACTTAATGAACAAATACAATCTTCCAGCGCACTCAGAAAGTGACAAATTTTTTAACTCCATGCGTCTTAAACAATTGGAAATCAATCCTCATTTTTATAACACACCTGCAATGACGAACAAAAACTGGCAGGCTACAAATTGTAAAGACAGACACATGTTCACCCGCTACTCTTGCCACGGTTTTCACTACCTGTTTTGCACAAATGCAGCCTATCACACGGCAGCAGATGACAAATGTAAATGTAAATTTTGCGATGAAAAAATTCTTTTTTATCACTTATTCGAATGTAACAAGAGCAATATTACGTTATCAGCCGCAGCGACAATGAAAAAGTGAGAGACAACACCGAGTGTGAGAGACAATACCGATGAAATAATTTTTGTTCCTTCATTTGACCGATTTTTACTTTATTTTATGTCTAGTATGTATGTTGTATACCGTTGGTATTTAATAAATAAATCAATCAAAAATTTTTATTTATATTTATTTCCAAATTGTAATGTAGGCATTATATTTGTACTGCGCCAAATGCATTATTAAAAAATTCTTTAAATCCTACAAACACTGCATGCTTTAATTGTAGTTAATACAAGTTTGAAATATATGAGTTCTGTGTCCTTCTCAGATTAAATAAAATAATTAATATTCGATGATCATGAATAATATTGAATCATGTTAAGACGGATTTTTTTTGGTTTTTAGACAAATTTGATATTTTTCTGTTAAATTGTAATAACTAGGATTTTGTCCTTTTGCCCCCAAAGATGAACAGACCAAATTCAAGGAGCTTTAACAGATATTTAATTACTGCAAATATTGAAGACAAAATCATTCACTTTTGCAAGCTCCACAAATATACTAACCTTTTCTATCGGTGTTATGTTTCAGTATATGTAATTGTCGGATACCATTACGAGTCGCTCGGATTACTGATTGCGCTTCAAGATCTCGGTCTCTTTAAGGAAGGTGAGTGAAATGAAATGTTGCGTTGATACCCCTTCTGGATAACACCGTTTGACCTAATCTTGGTAGTTTATTTGTCACACGTTGATTTCTCTTTTTTCCAAACACCATCATAAAACTGTTAAGTAACAACCCCGATCGCGTTTAATATATGAAATTAGTACAGCAGTTCCCACACCCACCACATCTCCCTTTGTTGTTTGTGATGCGCAATTTGGCGCTGGTTGGGCTAGCAAATCTGACATCGGAGCCCAGCAGCTGTCTCATTTCTCACGTGAGGAATATCAAATTGCAGCGGCTGGCTTTTCGTATCAAACTATAGTCCCACTTTTTCGCCCACAAACAAGCTAGGTAACAATACGCTGTTTAGTTCTCCTCGGTAAATAATCTCAACATTTTTGGGTCAGCATCAAAAATTTCTGCGTCTGCCGCAGACACGTCCTACGCTTGAATCGTTTTTCCAGGAGCGATAAATTACGCGGATAATTTTTAATACGTGAAAAAAATCGCCGTGTGACAAGAAGTGGCCGGTGGGTCGTATATATATTTCTGAGAAATGTCTCTTCTATTCAGTGTGTTTTTTCTCTCATTTCGCTGGCTCGGTGCCACGCCGGTACCCCCTATTTTTAACTCTTTCGGCGCTCTCACGTGCTCGCCTCTGATAAAGCCATAAATAATCGTGTGATAGTAAATTAGACTCGTCCTGCCGCTGGCATCTTTATGCCCAACCTATCCTAACGTCAATAAATTGTGCGAGCACCGGGTGCTGCGCTTTTGCCATTATTTACTTTGGTGGCAGTGCGCGAATTTTTGTGAGAAAAATAACTGCCGGACGATGGAGGACACGCGATAATGTCGCCCGAATGTTCTTGCTGTAATCTGTGTCTTTTGCAGGCGAATATTTCGTGCTAGGAGTGGACATCGAGCACTACGACAACGACCGGCCCGAAAAATACACCAGAGGCCTTCTAAATGAAGAACAAGATCCAAAGATTGATAAAGCTTTTAGGTGAGTACACATGCATCGTTAGCGTGACTTGTTCCTGTTTACAGCAACAACCACTAATAACGTCATCACTAGACCCGCGAATTCTAGACGTTATCTGCAAAATGAAGTGGTTTTTAAGCGGCTTTTGCCTGTTTTTTATTAGATTAAAAAGGTGAAACAAGTGCTAAGCATTTTCTTGCAAGAGGTTTTTATTTAAAACTCTACCAAATGAAAATAATTATGATGCATACACATGATCAAAATATTTCTTTTTTTGATTTGCGTGATTCTTGTTAAAGAGAAAAATAATGTCACTTGCTGCTTATTAAATTATTCGGTTGGATTTAATCAAATTTACACTGGGGAGTTTTTTAAGGAATGATATTCCACAATGAAATGAACCTGATTAAAAAAAAAAACGTAATAACTCTCAGGATTTTTTTATATCTATGTTTTTTATGATATTTGCCATCTATTTCCAAATTCTCAATATTTTTTTTTTAATTCTTAACCAAAAATTTTTTTACTTTGCAATCGCAAAAGAAATTAAATATCCATCAAAAATCAAGAGACAAGAGATATATAACTTTTTTGATATTAGGGGGTTATAAAACATATTTTATGCAAATAATTTAAGTACTTCGGTTAAATAAATATTTTTTACATAACTATGCAATTTGCACAACTTTGCACTTTTTTTAATAAGGAGAGATTTTTAGACAGTATAAATACACTTTGCAGAATACATTTCCACTTGGTCTAATTAAGATTTTTATATAAAAGTCAAAAAGCAACTTGTTAATTAAGTCTCTAGTTGAAATAGAATAATTACGCACTGCTCCAGCTCTTCCCCTCAGTAATTCCATTGGGAAATAACATTAAAATAAAAACAGAGTGGGTTCACAGAACTAGCTTTGGCTCCGCTTCAATCAAAAAGTTTGCTTTCGGTTTGCAAAGAAACGAAAGAATCTGCAATCATCTTTTCCATACTTCTTTGAAGTGCTCTCAAGTTGCGCGGTGCAGCGGAGGAATGAGCGCGACTTTTCCCTCCAGTTGGAGAATTCATTTTGCCTCGTTCAAACTTTAATTAAATTCGTCCTAATTTTTTTTCGCAGGAATTTCATCGGTGTGGTAGCGAGCTCGCCGGCATCTCAGCTGACCGACAACTTCACGCAGCTGGTGAACCACTACATGGAGAAGCCGCCGTTTTCTTTTCCCAACCCCTTGACTTATCTCGGCGGGGTGAAAAAAGTGAGTCAGTCGTTCACTCTCTCCATCTCTCTGATTATTAAGCCCCCGCTTTGTTTCATACGCTTCTTTTATTGTCTCTCTCCTTGTTGCTGAGCGCTAAAGCCTAGCCGGCTTTAATTTCCCGCTCGTAACTTGGCTTGCCGCTTGCTTTGTGTTTCTTTTCTGCCGTTCTACAATCGTATCTTATTTTCTTCTGAGCAAATGAATTCTCTTCGAGGAGCTGTCAGTTTGTTCTTTTTTTTGCGTGCTGCTTTGGCACACACCCCAAGTTGCTATTTCTTCCCCATTTAACAACTTACATCATTCCAATATTGCTTATTTGACTGGAAGAACAAAAATAATTTCATTAAATAATCTTCAGCAAATCAAGACTTTCATTTAAACTAACTAAACGATAAAATTTCAAAATGTTCCAATAATTACATACAAAATGTTGGCTTTTGATCATCGTGGAAGTGGTATAAATATTTTTTTATTCCCCTTCCACTATAAGAGGCCCTTAAAATTCAAGTTTTATTCGCCCCTCATATTTATGTTTTAGAAATTTTTCACTATCGAGGGTTCATTCATGTTTTTTTTCTTTTTAGTTTTAAATGATTCAAAAAAAATTATTTATTATGGAATTGCTGAAGTATTAATTTTTTGAGTTAAATTATTATTAACTTTTTAAGTAATTTTTTTTCTTGTGAATCAATTTTTAGTTGCGGCCAGAAGCAGCCTATTTGTATGACGCCGTGCAGTTGTACGCGAAGGCGCTGTGCGACGTTCTGGACGGCGGCGGCGACCCTCGAAATGGCACCGCCATCATCGAATCCATCAAGGGCCGCACTTACGTCAGTGCCATGGGGTGAGTGCATTGTGCCAATTTGCTGATTAATTAATCGCCAGCGACACAATCTCTCGCATGTGCCATTCGCGCGAGACTTCTCTGCAGCCACTTTGCAAATTAGATTGCCAAAGCCGAGTGGTGCTTCGGCGGCACAAACGAGACACTCTCCATTGTTCTAGACTTGTTTTGATTCGAGGGGTTTAAAGCTTAACAGTCCTCTGCTGACGCAAGAAACAAAAGACTTTTGATTTCTAATGGGCTCTTGGCTTTTCAAGGCGGTATTTAAATTTAAAACTTCATCTCTTTATTCCAAATATATAATTATTTAAACGTTTCCTAACAGTAGGAACTTCTTTTTAAGAAGCTGACAAAAATTTTTAATGAAAGGATTTTATTATTATTTTTTTTTTAATAAATTTTTAATTACACTTTTGATGATTTTCGTGCACAAGTGCTTTTTTTAATTTCAAGCCAGATGTTATTTAATGGCTCCGTTGCTATTTTTTGTCCAGTAATTTTTGCAAATAGGGAGAAATTTATTTGCTTACGCATTACGCTCGTTTATCTACACGGATCGAGAGGACCAAACGCCATAAAACAATTCACTTAATACGAATGACTGGCACGTTTTTAATGTGTTTTAATTTAATAAAAAGCTCACACACCGAGAAGCATTAGGCACCAGCAGAGCAACAGCAGCTCGATCTCTAGTGTGTGCGTACGCGGCAGCTACTACAGCCTTATATTTTACGTGACTTGCATAACTCTGCAGAGTTACTCGTTCTTGCAGTGGCTGAGGAGAGTTGTTGTTTACCAGTTTGTACTCGTAGCAAAGGTCTTGCTGCTTTAAATTTATTTGACACACGGAGACGCGGAAGAAAAAGAGATTCTGTTTCTTCCAAGACTTGGCTCTGCTAATTGAAACTTTGATTAAATATTATATAATTTACACAACATTTTTATTCCCTTAAAGTAAAAACAAAATTTATTATTAGCAATTTAAAATATTCGTAAACAATTGCAAAATTTTATAATTATGAAAACCGAAAGAGTACAGGATATTTTAAGCAAGAACTAGAAATGTTTTTAATATTATAAATTATTTAAAACACACGTAAATTATCCATCAGATAAATCAGAAAAAAAGCGATGAAATTTTACGATTATCTGAACCCCCAAATTTATGGTACGACGCCATATAAAGCAGTCTATACATTTTTGTATAGAGGCAAATATTTTTCAATTTATGTCTCTTTTGAAAAGCGATCGGATTGGATTGGAGAAGCAGTTTGCAAAGCTGGCTATAAAAATGCAGCGGTCTTTGAGACGCAACCACCACAAATCCCTTATCATCCTTTTGCGGAAAAAGAAACGCTCGCCTTCCAAATCGAATCGAGCGGCGTTCAGCTAAAAAACAAAAGCTTTCGCGAATCCCTAGACAGACGAATGGCACCCGAAGCACACGACCTTTTTGATTTCCTCCGCCCCCATTTTTTTGCGGATGACACTGTGTTGCTCAAGAGGGATAGACGAGAGAGACACGCGCTCTCTGGAAATACATTTCGGCAACGCATGATTGCGTGCATAAAAAGTAGCAGCAGCGCTGGGCAGGCTTATTCCCATCAGAGGCGGCGACGAGATGACATTTTGATGCCAATCGACGCGGAAGAGACTCCTGGCAGTGACAAGAGTCACCGATGGCGAGGCCAAAAACGCTCCGTTGCTCACACATGAATGCGCTAAATACCTGAGAACGCGATTATATCGCTTTTTCAAGCTGCCTTTGATCAAGCCACGCATCAAGAAGGGGCGCTTCAAACAAGTCCTTTAATCTCGGCTCCTTGTAATCAAGTTAGCTTTGAGTTTGTCAACTACATAGATGCTTAATTAAATGGGCCAATAAGCTTGAAATTTGTTATTCTACACCCTATAGATTGCTAAATTTAATCTAAAATATTTTGCTGCATTTTAACTTGAACCTCAAAAATTGTATACTGTTTCAAATTGTAAATTAGAAATACGCAGGATTAAACATAATAAAACAATTCATTATTACCATTTTTTTTTTAAATTATCTTTTGTTTGTAACATAATTTTTATATTTGCTGTATTTTATTATATATTTATTTTAGTTTGTATTTAATGTTAAAAACTGCATTTAAACAACCAAACAATAATTAATTATGCCTCTTGATATTTTTATTAAATATGTATATTGTTTTTTTTTATAGAGTGTTAGTAACCCATGCTTAATGTATAAAGCTCAAGCTTATCATCTGATATTTCGTTTTTATATTGCTCAATATTAACAATTAACTCTGGCAATGAGTGACAATAATATTAATAATCAGTGCACCTTTTAATTGAGTGGGACTTGCAGGATTCTTGTTTTCCTCTGAAATATTCAGTCCCTGTGTATTTGACTTGAGCAATAGTTGAGTCAGTTCACTGACCCACGATAATCTAAGTGGCCGGCCGGCTCTCTTGTCTAGGGCCGTAAGCCTTCTCTCGGGGAATGCACCACACGCTTCTTCTTCTCTTATGTTATCTCTCGACCTCAAGCCCCCAGATCGTCGCTGAGAAAAGAGATTCTCAGCCATTCGCTACGTCACTACAACCAAACTTATGGCGTGGATGTTGAGCGACCGACAAGCGAGTTCACTTAATGGCACCAGCGGCCTCTTGAGAGCGCAGCCGGCTTGATCTTGAGCAGGCAGTTGCAATGCAAATATCGTGCCAATCTTTCTGGGCGGCACAGTGGGACAAGCACTTGGTGCAAAAGCGGTTGCAGGTCCAAGTTGCCCGAGTGCAGACAAGAGACTCGGCTGTTTGCAAATAAGAAAACTTATCAGCGGTTCTCTCGAGCAGTCTGCCTCTGGGTAAAGTTTTTTATTTGTTCTAGTTTGCAAAATATTAGTTTTAGCTCATAAATATTAATAAAGTTTGGGGAAAGTTGAAGATTAAACGTTTATATGCAAGCCATTTAAATAATTTTATTCATGAAATTTGATAAAAAAAATTATGATTTAATTCAGTTGGAAAAAATAGGTAAATTTACCAGGTGGACCGTTTTATGATCAAACAAATTTTTACAGGTGATAAAGTAATTTGAAAAATAAATACAATAAGTTTATACATTTAACTTATATTAACATAATTAAGTGACCTCACCTTTAATAAATTCTTTAAATTTAAGATTTAATAACTTAAAGAACTGTGATTTAAAAAAGAAAAAATTAAATTTAAATCATTTAAATGAATTCTTTTGTTCTTCAATAATTTTTAGCACTGTTTTCTAAATTCAAGTCTGCAAAATAAAACATTTCTATATAACAAAATACGTGCACCGATTAGCATCAAAAACTCATCAAGCCAAAAGGCAAATCCTCATTCGTCTAAAGTGCCAGCAAACAAAGAGAGCAGCCCCAACGCTATTTAGCCTGAAACAGTGCCGTTCCATTTCATGTAACAGTGTCGTCGCGGGTGCCGTGTTGCATTTGCATAATAAAGCAGTTGGATCGCAAGCGGAAAGGGAAAGTGCAGTGCGCGCACAAACAAACAGAGCGCGGAGGAAACGGGTGGTGCAGGCTCGGGGGTGAAGCGAGCGAGGGTTGCGCGGGGCGACCTTGGCTGCTCCTCCGCTCGCAACTTATCTCTTTTACACTTGAGAGCGGGTGAAGCGAAAGTGGATAAAGGGCTTCCTCTGCTGGAGCGAATGAGCAACCGACCGACCGAGTGTCCGCAGGTCGGCCCACAGACGTGCTTGAGCATTATTATGGGGGTGATAAATCTGCTTTAATTGTGCTAAGTGCGCACGTTGAATCGGAGAGTGTGTTGAAAGGCAAGATCGATAAATTCCATGAAAGCTTTAATGCCCTATTTATTAGTAACAAAATATCTATTGAATTATATATTAAAGCATATGAAATATAAATTATATTACGTCAAACATTCTATTCTTTGAAGTTTTGTAATTACTCATTTATTCTCCTTTCACTGTTACATAATAATAAAAAAACGTACAATATAATGCAGAAATCACAAAACAGTGGCGTGAAAGGAGAATATGAATTATGTATCAGGGCAGAGAATAAATAGCAGTGATAAATTAATAAACTTTTTTACAAATAAAAAAGTTACAACAAAATAAATAAAATTTATCAAAATAGCAAAATGCTGAAAATATTACAGATTTTATAACAAATTATAAAAACAAAATTTTGAAAACCAGTATGTGAAACAATGATTTAAAATTTTTTAACAAAACCATATAAAATTTTTCAATAGCGGAAATTTTAATTTTCCAAAGCGTCACCTAAACAACTTTGTGTAAAATATAAGCAAACCACTAACAAAAGTACATTTTATAGCAAAGAGCAAACCATCATGCTGGAAAAATCATGCTGTAAAGCTTTTTTAACTGGGGCAGTTAACGACCGCGGTCCTTAATGAGTCTCCGCGCTTTTAACATATAAAACCGCACATTTTTCCTCATCGACGTTCGCGTCTCTGTTTGCCCAGAGAAATAATTGACTTGCATGTTGTGTTGCAGTTATGTGGGCCGGATGGACGAGAACGGAGACGCCGAGGGTAATTACACCCTCTTGACGACGCGACCGCACCACAAAACCCCTGGTGACTTTGGCCTGTACCCAGCGGGGACCTTTCTGCTCAGTGGCGGCGGTTGGCCGGTGAGTGAATGCAAATTTACCCCACCCAAATTATATAAGATTCGTTAGGTTCCCTTTCATCAAATTTATTCAGGAGAGCACTTGAAACTTTCTTGGAATAATTCATAATTCATAGCATTAAATGAAAAAAGCAATTTGAAATGCTAGATTTTTTTTTAAATAAACTGAAAAATTAGTTTTGACACTGAAATTAAAAGCAGTTGTTCAAAGTGCTTAAAAACTTTAAGTTCTTCACTAGAGATTATTTTGGATTAGTGTTCACATTTGCCTGAAATAATTCAACTTGAAATGTATAATTAACTTACTTCATACACTCTATCATTTTCAAAGTCAGCAGAGTGATTTATGTTTCTCATTTCAACACTGAGCTTTTGCATTCCCCTCATGCTCCAACTACGTTTACAAACGTGGAGCCAGCAAGAGCAGATAAAAGAGGATTTATTTTTCCTGCAGGACCTGCATTTAACATCAGAGATAGACTGGCCCTTAGGGAAGCCGCCGTTGGCAGAGCCCGAATGTGGATTCCGCGGTGAAAAATGCATCTGTGAGTGCAGAGTCATGTTTTTAACAGCTGATTGAAAGCAAACCGCCAGCGTGGTTTTCTTTTGATCCGTTGCTCACGAGCTGATTATTTGTTTATTTGAGCTGCGCGCCTGCGAAATGCGTGCTTATGCAACCTGTTGAACTTCCTAGCACGGCGTGTTACGAACCTTTTACACTTTCAAAAAAATAATTTGATTTATTAAACCAAGTTTATAAATTTAAAACGAAACTTAATGCAACAGAAATAGTTTAAATGAATTAAAAGAAATTGAAAGCATTAATCTTAAAATTTATAAATTCAGTTGATGCATGCCAAAATAAAAATTGTAAATTTTGTAAATTGGATTCCTAACTTTTATATTTAATACGTAAATCGCATTTTGCATTTTTTTTAATTTGTCAATTGAAAATATACAAACTAAATTAAATTCACAATAAAATACTTTCAAAAATTTTCTAGCTCACACACCCGAAATCCTCTCTGGTCTGATCGGTGGAGCAGCAATTGCAGTGATCGTAATTGGACTCATCCTTTATCGAAACTGGCGTTACGAACAAGAACTGGACAGTCTGCTTTGGAAGTTGGACTACAATCAAATTCAAATGGCCGAGGAGAGCGATAAGGGCAACAACAACGGCAGCCTCACCCCCAACGGCAACGGATCTCTGTGCCCCAAATCCAAGGTAATCTTTTTAGATTCATCAACTTGATATTTCATTTCCGGAACGCACACAAGAGAAAATAACTCGTTGCTTGTTTTCAGCAGTCCCAGCAGAATGTGCATCCGCTTGTGCGCACCTCGCAAGTATCGCTAAGCTCGAATCCTGAGGCCGACTTCCGATACTCAGCGCTCTACACCCCCGTCGGTCTTTACAAGGGTAGGATGTTTGCGATAAAGAAAATCAATAGACGCCAAGTGGATATCACGCGGAATTTGAAAAAGGAGCTGAAAATGGTGTTTATAATCAAATCTTTTGTTCATCACCGAAGTCTAAATTGCTTTTCCTGCAGCTGCGTGACCTGAGGCATGATAACTTGAATGCGTTCATCGGCGCTTGCACTGATCCGCCGCACATCTGTATTGTCACAGAGTACTGCGCAAGAGGGAGTCTAAAGGTAATCACAAGCTATAATTGAAATTTCTTTCTCATTTATTTTTTTACAGGACATCATTGAAAATGAGGATTTGAAATTGGACAACATGTTTGTCGCTTCTCTAGTCGGAGATATAGTCAGGGTATATTATTAATTAATTAAGTAAAAAAAAGACCAAAATTAATTATGATTTTGTGCATTCTAGGGAATGACGTTTTTACACGACTCCCCAGTTAAGTCACACGGTAACTTGAAGTCAGCAAACTGTCTAGTCGATAGCAGATGGGTGCTTAAAATTTCCGATTTTGGTCTTCATGAGCTTAAGCAAGACCCAGCGATTCCATCGTGGACGCGGTGCAGGGATGTTGATGGTCGATGGATTGGGCAAGGTATGATAAATAAAAATAAATTACTTTTTTTATTTGCGTGTGCTTATTTTTAAATTTAAAATACCATTTACCAGTTTTTTTTAACTTGGTAAATTATTTATAATTTGTGAAAAATTCAACACTTTTTTGACTTGACATTTGAATCTGGATTTTTGTTTATCTTCTTAAAAACCCAAACTAGTTTATGAATGCATTTTGTTACCACTGTGAAATTAGAAATCAGTTAATCTTAGCACAAGCTATTAATTTCTTAAGCAATAAAGAATGTGTATGCTCAAATAATATAAAAGAAATTTTCAATCTCAACCCTTAGGGATTTCCCCCAAGCTGCAGACAATTTGCAGGCTCATTTTTTTTCCTTTTGCACAGACTTGACGTATCGAGCGCCGGAACTGATCAGGCTGATGGCGCGGAGGGCAAGTGGCCACCATTCTTTATGGCTTGATGGAGAGTTAGACGAGGGGCCAGGAGTTGCCCTAGTTGCGGCCACCAAGCCGTGGAAACAGCCTCTGTGCAACCCTGAGGAGGACGAGATTTGCGTCAGGGGCACCCAGAAGGGCGACGTCTATTCTTTCGCCATCATCTTTTACGAAATGCACGCCAGGCATGGTGCCTACGACGCGCTTGGTCTTTCCATGCACGACATCATATCCAGAATTGTGGCGCAAAAATCCATTCCATTTAGGTATTTAAGTTTTATTTTTCAATCTTTAAAAATTAAAAGAATCAATAATTTTATCTGCTTTTCAATATTTTAATTGCTTCATTTCTTTCATCCTGCATAGTATTTATTGAATAAAAATTTTAAATTTCAGGCCACCTATAGATGCTTTAGAGGGAAGCTTTGATTTTGTTAGGGAGCTAATACGAGACTGCTGGGTGGAGTCACCAGAACAAAGACCCGAATTTAAGTCACTGAGGGCAAGACTGAGACCTATGCGCAAGGGAATGTAAGATCACTTAAAACACAATCATGCCTAATAATAATTAATCATTTAAGGAAACCAAATATTTTTGATAACATGATGGCCATGATGGAGAAATACGCTAACAACCTGGAGGTGCTGGTGGACGAGCGAACAGATCAACTAGTGGAGGAGAAAAAGAAAACAGGTTTGTTCATAACTGGATGCGATGCTTTTAAGTTTAATTAAAATTATCGCAGAGGCACTTCTGTTTGAAATGCTACCTCGTTCTGTGGCGGAGCAGCTGCGCAAGGGACACAAAGTGCAGGCCGAGAGTTACGACGCCGTCACGATTTATTTCAGTGATATAGTCGGCTTCACCAGCATGTCTGCTGAAAGTACTCCTCTGCAGGTAGCCCATTTGTCTTTGCATGCACGTATTTTTCATAGTTTCAATGACACTGACATAAGCTCACACGCTCCCATTAATACTGGGCTGCGCGCGCACACTTTCATTCAGTAAAAAGGGATCAATGAAATCCAGCGCGTGAGATAACAATTTTTATCACTAAAAAGAAACGTTATATTAAAATAACAAGTTTTCTTATCTTGTATTCCCCAAATTTAAAAAAATATTTTTCCTATTTGTCTAAAAAGAATTCAAGCTTTATTTGTAAATATTTTGTTTTTCTTACTTGATAATTAGAACAGCAAAAATAATTCCACAAAAAGAGTGCGTAATATGTTTAAATTTTGCAAAAGATAGATTAATTATAAAAAATGCTTGCATGTAATATGATGTATTGTATTAGTCGTTATAAATCTTAAAATAGATTATTCTTAATACTTAATCAATATTAATTTAATTATTACTTAAAACTAAATAAATTTTTTTAGGTGGTTGATTTCCTCAACGATCTGTACACATGTTTTGACTCCATAATTGAAAACTACGATGTGTACAAAGTAGAGACCATCGGCGACGCATACATGGTGGTCAGCGGACTGCCCATCAGAAACAAGAATGCCCACGCAGGTGAAATTGCAAGCATGTCTCTCCACTTGCTTGCGGCGGTCAGAAAATTCTCCATTCGTCACCGACCTGGCGACACGCTGAAACTCAGAATTGGAATCCACAGTGGTATGTGCAAAAAGAAACATGTGCTTTTTTTTAGTTAGCGAAATTGCCTTGGTTTTAATAAAAAGTTCACATTTTTTCTAAATTTATCTCCAATTTTGAATCCAATGTTTTTCTCTAGTTGTTAAAATACAGCTTCCTAATATGAAACCCGTATAAAAAAATATTGAAACATTTAGATATTAAAATATAGCCTTTTATAATTTAATTAATTATTATTAATGCTATGTATGTTTTATACAGTCATATACAGTGTTATACATTTTTGTAATTAATTGTATTTAAATTAGGTCCTGTGTGCGCTGGGGTTGTTGGTCTGAAAATGCCCAGGTACTGCTTATTCGGGGACACAGTGAACACTGCCAGCCGCATGGAGTCAACTGGATCAGGTAGAAATTTATTTTTGATATATTTGTTTCTTTTATTCCAATAATTTTTTTTAATCAAACCTGTTTTAGAGCTGAGGATTCACTGTAGCGCAGAGTGTCGTGCACTGCTTGAAAAATTAGGTGGATACGAGCTGTTGGAAAGAGGAGTGGTGCCAATGAAGGGCAAAGGCGATAGACTGACCTACTGGCTGGTCAGCGAGGACCCCATTTTCGCTGCCGAGCGGAGAAGACTGAGAAAAGAGCGCTTCCAAAACTCCTTAGCCCCGCACCACGCCAATGGGTCGGCCCTTTCCGATATTCCTCGCAGTTCTCTTAAGAAATCACGAAGGTTGGCTCAATATTTATTCACACAGTTTTAATGTCACCATTATTAAAAATTGTTTAATTTTTATATTCCATGCATTTAAAAGGATAATTATTTTACATTGCTTAAAAATTCTCTTATTAATAAAAATGAATTTGGTGTATCAATTTTTATAAGATATAATCATTAAATAAATCTAATTTCGATCATTTTAGTCCTGTGATGCGGAACCATCAGTTAGCCAGGGCATCTAGTCTTGAGTCGCCGAAACGTCTGCGATTCGCGCTCGGCTCACTGGAACGTTGCAGTGAGGGCGAGAGGGTGTGCGATGCAGGTCGTAATTCACACGCCATCATTCCAGCCATTCGCCTGCCCCCTGACCAAATTTCACCTGGAAACCCTAGGAGGATGAATTCTGTCTCCCCTGCTTCCACAATCAGCGCACCATCGTCTGCTTCCTGTCCTTGCATTGAGGCTCTCAGACTCAGCCCTGAGAGGCAACCACTATGCTGGGCACCCTCACCATATTCTAGGTGTGTAGAAATTGTTTTTGTTAAATATATAAAATATATTACGAAGGAATTGCAAAAACTTCTTTTTTGCTATTCCAATGGATCATGCCAGTTTTTTTTAATAAAGAAAATATTAATTTTTTTTTTATTAATTTGTGTACAGAAATCTGAAGCTTAATGTAAATTTTGCCTTATAAAATTGAAAATAATTAATCTGCAATATGTAAATTATTTTTTAACTGGTAAAACGCAAGGTGCAGAGAAAAGGAGGTGAATCAATTTAGAAATAAGCAAATTAGCTTTTTCGGATTTAACAAAAAATGTTGTTTTTTTCAGTCTTGCTGCTTCCAGTGTGCCCCTTCTATTGGGATGCTTGCCACCTCAGCTGTTGCCCCCAGGCGTGGAGGAACGTGTGTCGGATCACCCTAGTGACCAAAACGAGCCGCGTCAGGGTGTCCTGCTCAGTTTAACTGCCCCCAGGGAGCCAAAGGCGCCACCTTCAAGAGTCTAGCGGGCACATTTCAGAGGTAAGGGTCGTCCAAAGTGCCTTCCTTGACTGCGTGTCGGATCTCAGAATTTCAAGTCAGCAACCCAACTTTGATGTTCCCTAGCGTACCTCCACGCACTTAATTTTAAGTATTAAATTAATGAGTGTGAAATAAGCAGTGCTGTGTGGTGCTGCTGGACTTAACATGTAGTGACATTTTTAAATAGAGTTTTCGTACAATGAATTCAAGCTATGTCAAAGAGAGGCTAAATGATACCTTGAAAACAGAATCTAACTTAAATGTATGTATCAATTTCCATATTTTTATGTGCACACTATACGTAAAATTATGAAGGTGTCGATGCTGACTGTAGCCTCAGTAATTGTACTTATTTTTTGAAAGGTTATAATTATATTCAAACTATTAGTGTTAAAATGACGGTTTACTTGTCTCCAAGAATGATCAGATTTTTAAATTTATGTACAATCTTACTGGAGTAAAATTTAAATTGTTTGTGAAACAGATTTTTAATTTGTCGTAACTGAAAATTTTAAATAAACACACAATCGATCTTATTACATAGTAGAGAAAATTTTAAAACAGCTAAAAATATTTTTTCTTATAACAGCTAGTTTAATTTTTTAAATTATTTAATTATTTTTTCAATGAATTTACTGAGAAAAATTTTAATAAAATAATTTTTATATTTTCTTTCACAAAATTTTTAAAATATTTAATCATTTGCACAATTTTTTTATTGTTATTTAGTGGTAATTTCGGTTTTTTCTAGGAAATTTAATAGAATTTTTAATTTTATTTAATTAAAATATTAGAAATACCTTTCTTAGTATATGCTAAAATTTGCCTTATTTATTTAAAAAAAAAATCTGGCTGTGCAAAGATATTTGTAAAGTGAGGCAGTTACAGAAGTATTATTTCAGGAAGAACATAATTATGTAATTTTTTCGCATTATTGGATAGATATGACCGCTGTCTGTAAAATAATTCTAAGCTAGGCTTGTTTCTTTGGTGCTCGCGCCTTTTGCGGTCGTAGTTCTCGCCAAAACTGTGGTGCGTCGCTTCGAAATTCGCCAATTCGGCGGGCGCTCGACAGAGTGCAGCACCGAAATGTCTGCCCTCTGCACATGTTTAGCCCTGCGAAAATCGTCCTTTGCCCGAGTGACCCTTGCAAATAAAATAACCTGAATTTAAATTATGAATACCCGTGTATCCTGCCACTTTCATCGGGCACCTGGGACCCTTTGGAGGGCCGGGGTCGGCGACCGAACGGTGGCCGTGCGTCGCAGCAGTTGCGGCGCCGCGACGTGGAGACTCTCGCGTGTGTGCCGAGCAGTCAAGTCAGTTGGTCCGTCGTGCTTGCGAGGTTCGGTCGTGTCTCGCACCGAAACGCGAAAAGACCCGTCTGATATTTTGGAATCGGTCCGTGCGACCTTTGCTCTCTGCCTGCCTCACTTGTGACCCCACGTGACCCCGAAGAGGACCATCGGCGGTTTTGCTGCTACCTGAGGAGCGGCGTTCAACTTTCCACCTGTTGTAAGTTTCTTGTTTTTGTCTGCTGGCATTTCTGAATATTTTTTATTTATAGACCATCTCAAAAGGGGATTTTTTTAAATTTTAAATTTATGATTAATTTTGTTAAAATTTTTATACCTTTGAAATTTTCTTTAATTTGAGGAGCAACCAGCTTTTTCGAAAGCCACATTTTTTTTACACGCTGCACTCTCAGGTCGGAACTGGAAGGGCGTGAAACAATAACAATACAAAAACACTCGGAGCCTCGCGCGAGCACCATTCCGCTGCTGCCGGGAGTTTTCGTATCAAAAACGAGTTGAAATTTAACCTTTAGAAAGTGTTTTGTACTTTTGTATGTCTCACAGTGACTGAGTTTAGCACGATTTTCGTTCGCCAGCGAGAGAGGCCTTTAAATTAATTTGGTGGTGCAACCGCGACAAAAACACACACGGCGCGCCGAGAGACCAAACGTGGCTGGTGCAAAATTAGAATTCGATTGTGTGAGGTCGGTGTCGACTGATTCATTGATGGCTTTTTCATTCAATATTTTCATTCTTTAATCGTGGAAAATAACTCTTTGTTTTATGGCGCAGTGCATGTTTAAATGATCACTGACGTGTTATGGAACCGCAGAGGAGGAAATTTTGATAACGGATTGAGCGCATGTTGACACACACGGGAATTTTATGAGGCTTTTCTATTGTGCCGCCATGGTGGTGCTGAGAGTATAAAAATAACTAGTTTACACTCACACACTGATAAGGAATTCAAGTATTTGAGAGAAATATAGTCACGTGTGTGACCAGAGGGCGCTTTTTCATTCGTGGTTAAATTAAGACCTTTAACGGAAAAAAGTTGCCACACAAGGATATCTTTGGCTCATAAATATTGGAATGGGAGCTAAAAATAGCGCAAGCACTGAAATAGCTTTTTAAGTTTAAAATATAATCAAGGAAATCCAGTTTGGGAGTGTCCTTATAGTTGACTAGAAAGGCTCTGAACCTTGCCTTGAATGTTTTTCTTTATTTTCGTGAAAAGAGAGGAACTATTAAACTGCTTTAGAAACCTGTAGTTTTTAAATAAAACCAGTCAATATTCTTAATTTAACATCACAAAACTCTACTTTTTCATGTTGAATTCATGAATATATTGTGATGTTTTTAAAATTTTATGTTAATATCTTCATTTTATACATATTTTATTGAATCAAATGAGTAAAAATGTGTCAAAATTAGTTTAAATATTTAACAATTGAGCTATTTAGCTCTAAAAAACTGTTTTTTGCATATTTTTATTAAAAAATATATTAGAAATAAATTTAAAGATCATTTTTAAGTCGAGCATCAAGTGAAGAAGTTATATATATAGAAAAAATTGTCCTCTTAGTAAGATGTGTATGATGCGAAAATAGTTGCAGATTCTCTTTGTGAACCTCGCATAAAATATAATTATTTATTTTACCCCAGCCGCAGAGTACCGCGAATCCCTTTTCCTCGTAAAGGTTAATGGCGGCTTAATTTGGACTTCGCACAGCTTTTAGCGACTCGTGTTTCAAACTACAAACTGCACTAACTGTGTCTGTATGTCAACAATTCGTGGGCAAACTGTGCTCTTTTCAATCACAAGCAAGCCGGATTTCAAGATTTTTGCATATAAACATAAATTGCCAGATTAGTGGATCAAGTTTTCGAATTTTCTCTCATTTGCGTCTTTTAAAATTTCACGAAAATACCGCTCTGATGTTCTCGATTTTGCGTTAACTGGGCGATAAATATAAGCGAAAATCTTTGCTGAAAAAAATATAATCAATGGGCTTTTACTGCTTACTTATGACGACATTCGCACTTGCTTGCGAAAAGCAGGTTCAAGTGCGACTTTCTTAAATATTATTTATGTTTCCTCATTCAAGGCATTGCTTTAGTCTGAGAAAGCGGTAAATTTGGAACGCAGAAGTATGAAAAAAGTTCCAACTCACACGGCCTCAGCATAAATAATATCTGCATGCGCATAAAATATCAAAACAAATTTGTGAGAGAGGATGCAAGGGCAATTGACTCTAGATTGAATCGCAGCTCCAAGTTAAAATAGATATGTTGATCCTGCCGAAATCCTTTTTAGAGCTGATTGGACTTTTAAAGGTTCATGCTGTGATGATTTAAAACCTTAATTTAGCGTGTAAAATTGTGATAAAATGATAAATACTGATTAAATTATATAGAACTCTGGACACAGTTCCAATTATTATTTTAGACATCCTTGATCATTTTTAAATAAAAATAAGATATGTCCAAAGTAATATTTCCCGTCAACGCCACCTCCCAGCAGTCATTTAGTTGGAATGAAGAGGATATTTCCTTGCGAAAGGAAAAGCATCTCATCTCTACTGAACCGACTGAGTGACCTGGAGTTGCTAGGATTTTCATCTCCGGTGTGGTCGCCGTGTATAATTATTAGAGGGCTTTTAGGTCTGCGCTGCGGCGGAATTCCCTCAAAGTCTCGGATCCTTTGTGGCTGCCTTCGAGCGTGACATGCATGTGTGTGTGTGCTTGACGGAGACTTGCTCTCTAAAAATATATCGCCCGCGCAACCAGCCTCGCTTTAAGCGCCTCACAGCTCGGCGAATTTATAAATCATGACGTTAATTACCGCTGAATCGCGCCAGAGGGAACTTCATTGGCTGCCCTTTAATGTTTTGTTCTGCTCAACAGCAACTTACCGGCTATTGTTGTGCTGAAATTGCTATATTAATTAATACATTACAATATAACAGCAACGTGGAATGCCTGGAATAACCAAATAATATTAGTGAGGCCATAGCACTATGTGTTATTGAATCAAATAATGAATGCCCTTCTATCTAAACACCGCAACTTATTAATAGGGAAGTTAATTGCTATATTTTATAATGGTCATCATCGCTTTTTAAGAAATAATTTAAACTATTGTGCTCGGCTAATAATTAATTCTTAAAAATTTAAAATATTTTACATTTTATTGATGTTGTATGCTTTAATATATAGCATATATATTATTGTGTTTATTGATATCTATTTCAGAAACAATTGAAATTAATTAGTTAAATCGATTTAGAAAGGAAAAATTAATGAGATTATCAATACATAATCTCGCCTTATACACAAATTAACGTTAGGCGGACATCATTGGTTCAAAATTTTGCTATTAAACCATAACAAGTTTTATATTAATTATGAATTTTTTGCCTCACATAATAAATGGTTTATTCCATTTATTCATAACAAGTGTTTATCTAGGTATGTTTTGGAGATTATAACATTGAAATCATTTTTTTCACCTTGATATATTGACGTTTCTGATTTGTTATGTCTGTTTAAAGCGGATTTGATCTAAACTCCTCCTATTTTTCATTAAAAATGTAAGGGTTGTGCGGTTTGTGCGTTCTAAATTTTTTTCTCATTAGAGAGGATTATAGAATTTTTCTTTGACCACTAAAATGAATTGAACAAAAGCTAAGTCTCACATCAGCATCTAAAGTTCCTTTTGAATAATTGTGTAGCAGCACAGCAAAATAAAAAACCTTTTCATGTTAAATTCTCAGAGGAAATCAAAGGATAGCTATTCCTCTTCTTACAAACAAGTGATGCATGAATAAACGCCCACTGTTTGTGCAGAACTTTGTTGAAAAGCAGAGCGTTCTCCAATATTGTTAGCAAAAAGCAAATATTATATGCATATTAACTTCCACACACAATTAGAGCATTATGAAGTGGAAATAAATCTTTATTCAGTTCACAAAAAAGAAAAAAAATTCATTCACTGCTATTTACATCCTTCAGATAATCTTGCAAGCAGTCTTAAAAAGTCAAAAGTACGCAGCTCTTCCAAGTTGCAAACTTTGATGAGGTAAATAACGATGTAAATGGCAAACGCAAGGAGGCGAAGGCGTTTTCAATACCATTGCCATGTAATTGGTTCCTGGGACCAATTTTTCTTTTCACGACGTAGATTGATTTTTGCACAGCCCCAAAGGAAGTAAACATTTTTTAGCATCAGTTAAAGCAGGAAATTTTCTTTCAGAGAATATCCCTTAGGAAGAAGTCAGCTTTTTATATTTTTGATGATTGTTTTTTTTTTCTTTTGAATTCAGTCAATATTATAAAACTTCTTGGTCAGCGCAAAGCACACCAGTCCGTGACGTGTGCCTGCAGTTATCCGGTCCAACAAACTAAATTACAGCTGCATGCCAGCTTCAAACAGGAAGAATGATGATAAGTGTGTGTCCCGCCACCGATCGCAGACAAATAAAAAACCCGGATAGGGTCCCTCTGCACGTTCAGCCGCACACACACACAAACAGCCGAAAAGCAAATGCAACCATGTGGACCCTCTCACTCGGTTAACATAGGCCGAATGCTACTCGATCGCTCTCAAATGGAACCACATTTTTATTGGTCTCTATCTCTGATTGAGATCGATTGTGATCCAAACATTTTATCTCTGTGGTATTTCGATAAAAACTGCAGTGCAAAAAAATTATCAAGATCATGGCAACCGGTTTTTGTTTTTAATTTAAATCTGACAATCCTAGTCTTGTCATTAATCTTTCAAAAAGATAGGAATTGGATTTTTATTTTTGATCTAATCTTCAAATTAAAAAGTTCATCTTATTTTTCACTTCGCACAAACCAGTTTTTATGCAAAGAAATCAGATAAGGCTGCCATCACATGTGAAGGCGCGAAATCCAACTGATTAATTTTCGTATCGCGCACCTTTGGTCCAGCAGACCCGCGTAAGACTGATAGTCGCGGCTGCCGTCGTCGACAATTCAAGGCCGCGACCGCAAGTAGGTCAGCGCTGGCCGTCTCCCGCGCGGCGCGGACCCTAGGCTCAAACTCGATTACTCTCGCGGCCAACTCGCAGAGATTGAACGGCTGCTGCTGTTTGATGCCAACGTATGCATGCAGCGCATGAGGATATAAATGGTCCAGCAAATAGCGCGCTGCAGTCAATGAAGAAGACGTTCGCTCGCCTTTGTGGCCGA